GGTGGCCGTGGTAAGGACCACAGTGCCGAGATCTGGAAGGCAAGACTGTGTGCTGGAAGAGTGTGAAGCAGACAGCAGCCCGCAGCTTAGGCATCTCCGTCCACACCGGAAGACGGGGCCGCGCTGTCGTCAGCCAATGCTCACTGCACAATGCTCTCGTTAAAAATGTTACCTCAGTGTTAATTCAGTCACGGGAGTCTTTAAGGAAGTCCATATTTGAGAAGTACATTTGTCTGCAATGTAGATGGAACCTTGCAATTATTTGGTAAATGAATAAACAAATGCCTTAAAAAATTTTAGTCTTTGGAGACAGAGTCTCAGGCCATAGCCCTCCATGCAACTTGGCCAGCTCAGTCTTGAATACATAGACTCCTGTTCGGCCTGCTAATGCTGCCCTCCGCTGCTGCCCAGCCGGGCACTCCTGATTTCTCCTGTCAGGCGTTTTGAAGCAGCCGAGCCCTCTGAGCCGTGCCAGCGGCAGGACGAAGCCAGGCCATGTTGTGACTGTGCCTCAGCCTCCTTACAGGACTTCAGCAGAGCTTGGAAAGGGATCATATTTCCATGTGGGTAGCTGTATTTTTTTTCATTTCACCTAGTATGTTTGAAACTTAATAGGGATTTTGTTTAAATTAGCAGAGTATTTTTTTTTTAATGAGGAGCCCACTTACAGTGCTGATTTAACATTTAATAATCAAAATAAGATACGTGTTCTTCAACTTTAAGGAAAATCAGATTGAGTTAGTTGACCCTCCCATTCAGGAATCATTAGTTCTGATCTACAGTATACGTTTGGTTTTTTTTTTCCTCTTCAGCCAATGTTGAGTTGAAAATAAAATTCTCCTCTAGAATAGAAATTGGAATTGGCATCTGGGAAAAATCCCCCTGTCACGTGATTCTCACTTTGTTACTGTTTTTCAACAACTTGAGAATATATGGTATTGATATGCATCCGTGAATGATAAAGACAGAAAATACCTGCAAAAATCTCTTTTAAAACCAGGGTGACTTGCTGCTATTACTCAGATTTTGGGTGTTGAATTTGCTGATATTGTAACTGTGCTGGAGTCTTTGTGGGCCCACAGACTCTCCAGTATAAACACAGACTTTGTACAATCTTGAAACACCAGGTAGAAGAATTTTGTGATGATCCAGCAGCTTGTTTTTTTAAATACGGGCTACTGGAAAATCTCTTTTATTGATCACGGCCAGATGTGATCAATTTTTTTCAGATATGCGGGATACTATATATAGATCCATCAACTTTTGTTACTTCCCATCAAAGTAAGATCCTTCCTATTTGTAATTATAGTGTCTAATATAACTAAACAGTGGATGCTATTTGCATATTATATGAAGGCGTGTCAGACAACAAACTCATAGCAGTCGGTTAACATACAAGCTAATTATAGCGTCAGCCTACAAGAGTTTCTGAACTGAGGTTCTGATGCAGCCTAAAGCAAGGGGCTTTGAATTCTCACTTCTAAATATGACTTTTAACCAATATCAATGGTGGTTCCATTTTTCATAAATGAAAAGTTAATGATTAAACCAGATGCAATATTTGCTATAATGCAATTAAAATTTCTACACTAACCAACCCTCCAGAAAGGAAAATCTTGCAACAGTGTGGAATTAATTATCAGTCACTAAGCAGGTTATGTGCTGCCTTCATATGTAAAGAAAAACTCCAAAATAGTGGTGAAGATAAGTGAAGTTTCTTGGGGTCCAGCAGGCTGTGATGGCAGAGACAGATGCAGCGCAACAACGGTCTCCACATCCAATTGTGCACTGTGACATAACTGTATTCCTGCATGACTGTGATATCTATCAGGCAAGAAATTTGCTACAAGATTAACAGAGACACAGTAATGAAAAACATGGGAAGCAGGCTGTAATTGGTGGTAATTGAAGTGTTGTCGTCTTGGTCTGTAATGAACTCCTAGCTGTAAATTTCTGGAGCCAGAATGCTCAACTACTTTTCTTCTGTTTCAGAGCTCTGATCTGGAGACCCTTCTCCCCACTGTCTCTGGCTCACTTCACAAGCCTTGGTCAGGAGCCTGAAGCCCAAGGGTGGGGAGGGGGTTGGACAATGTGTATGCCATGTGGAATTTAGAGGTGTAGGTGGGCTTCAACATTAGGAGAAGTCAGGGATCATTTGATTGGGGTTCTCCCAAAATAGCAAGGAAAATGTCATGGATCACGTCTACATTTCTAACTTGCCCTGAAGGAGTCTCAGTAAAACAGACCGCACCAGCCGATAAGAAAACTGCCCTGAACCCTGAGCCATCTCTGCTGACACCGCAGAGGCCAGCCTTTCCATTCATATTTTAATGAGGCCAGTATCTCTGAGACCGTCCTTGGAGGGTGGAGGCAAGGTTCCGGGAAGATTACAATGGGAATCGCTTTATTGACAAGTCCATTCAAAACCTTCTCCGTGTAGAAAGAAAGACTCCAAGTCCTTACAGCATTCTCAGAATCAATAAGATTCAAAACAATTTGAGGGGGAAAGGCTCAATTATTCTATGAGCAGTCTTTAAATTTACTAAAAGAGTTCAGCTGAGTAGAGTCATATTAAACCCTAATCATAGACATTTTAAAACATGTATAAAGAACTACACTAACAAACATCTTTTAAAAAAAAAATTTTCCCCAAAGCGGGTGTTTTGGGATTTTAAGATCAAAACATGCAGACTTTCGTAAATGACCTCGTCACCGTCACTTTGAGAGGGTTCCTTCCTTTTCCAGTGATAGTTGTGATGTGCTGACCTGTGAGCCTTCTGCCTGAACAACTCCTGGTTTCAAAGACTTCCTGCAAAGGGCCAGCTAACTCCATAAAGAGCTGTCCATCTTCACAGACTTAAAACTGTAGAAATTCCCACAGCTACCCCCCTTTAGCCTATCTGTGTTAAGGTAGGGTGGATCACCACTATATTCAAAAGTGTAAAATTATATAAGGACAACCCACTGTTAAGAACAGTCTACTGGAAAGTTTTAATGTGGAGGACTTTTCAAAATATGCAGCACAGCAAATTTTTTTTCAAAAAGCCTCTCAAAAGTTACTGATGGAAGGCCTTTCACACAAGAGTATCATGATTTGGTCCCAAACTTACAAGGCTCAGCAATTTTTGTGAACAGCTCAGGATTTTAGGTCAATTTGAAAAGAAAAGGAAAACAACAGTTTCTATGGAGGCGACAGGAAACGCTTGGAGTGAGAGGACGGATTCTTGGCAGGGTAACAGGACTGGGCTTCCCAGGGCCCGCTCCCCCACCCAGGCCCCCACCCAGGCTCCTCCCGTCCAGGCACTGCCCCACCCCCATGCATAGAGACTGTTTACTTTTTTGACGGGCGGGAGAGGGGGTGAATTTCCTGGTTGCTATTAGGCTTTTTAATGAAAAAGCCCACTCTTCACTTTGACTTAAAATTCTGCGGACACCTAGTGACTGCCTTGTTTTTTTATATACTGCATATATTTATACGTATCAGATAAGGAAAGACCTGTAAAACACTCCCAGCACAGAAAAAGACCCATCGTCACCGCTCTAATAACGGTCTGCTCTTAAGTCATCCACGTAAGAATTCACGTCTGCATTCGAACCTTTCCCCGCCCTCCACGTTCACCCGTGAGTGGCCATCAGCTAGCCGCTTTTCAGGGGTGTCTGTTTATCTGAGGATTTCTTTTTTTGCAACTTATAGAGCCTCGAATTTAGGAATAATTAAGTCATAAATAAAATACCACTTGCATTGAAACTGCACTTGGAACCTTTAAGGTTTCTGCAGCAGATATCTTTTTAAAATGGTGAATTTGGAAATCAGAGCTTGCCATCTGAGAGACTCTGGTTCCAGGTCGCTGAAGACTGAGTTGCTCGTTGGAAGGCCGGGGGCTCGGGTCCCAGTCGGCCTGGAGTGGAGCGGGAGCAGTTTACCTGGGCAGCAGCAGGTGTGGGGCAGGGACCTGGGGCGCCTTCCTCGCTCTCCTCTTCCTGCGCTCCCTTTTCACAAGTTTGCCCAGAGCTGATTCCTGGTGGAAACCGGGGGGACCTCGCGGGCCCAGCTTTCATGTTAATTCGGCCCGCGCGGGCGGGTCGGCTTTGCGGCCAGATGGCGGGGAAGAGCCGAGACCCTTTGTGCGCCCCGAGCGCGCCTGTGAATGTCGCGCGGTCGCTGGCACCGGAAGGGTTCACACTGCGTGTGAAAGGGGACAAAGGGGGCTGGATATATCAACACTGCAGAAACCGAGTTCATTTGTCATGCAGGCCCCTTTCCCCGCGGTTGTCATGCAAACTTCCTACTTTGATCAGCGGAGGGTGGAGAGTGAGAAAGCGCGCAAAGCCGGGGCCGGGCCCGGCGCCCTTGGCGGCCCCACGCCCCCTTCCGGAAGGACCGCGGGGACTCGGCCTCCTGCACCTTGACCGGTCTAGACGGCACACAAGTTTTTGTCTCGGTTTCCAAGGGCGCGGGGTGCTCTTTGACCCGCGCCCGGGGCGGAGGTGGTGGCGGGAGCGCGGCGCGTCCTCGCTGGGCGGGTGGGCGAGGGGCGCGCGGGACGCGGTCCGGGAGGAAGCCGGGGAGGGGGACGCGCGAGCTCCGCGCCCGGGTGCCCAAGGCCACCGCGGTGTGGGCACCGCAGCCGCCGTGACGGGGGCCGAAGGCGAAGGGGGCACCGTGACCGTGGGAAGGGCAGGCTTTGGGCGCCCCACCGAACTGACGAGCGCGCTCTCTCTCTGCCTGTCTTATCTGTCTCTCTCTGTGTCTCCTCTCGTCTGTCTCTGTCTCTCGTCTCTCTCTGCCCCTGTGTCTCTCTGCCTCTCTCAGTGTGTCTCTCTCGTCTCTCTCGCTGTCTCTGTCTCTCTCTCGCTGTCTCTCTGTGTCTGTCTCTGTGTCTCTCGCTGTCTCTGTGTCTCTCGCTGTCTCTCTCGTCTCTGTCTCTGTGTGCCTCTGTCTCTGTGTCTCTCGCTGTCTCTCTTGTCTCTGTCTCTCTTCTCTCTCTGTCTCTCTTCCCCCCTCCTCTTCCTCTTCGCCTCTCCCCCTCTCTCCTCCCATTTTCTGGGCTTCAGCCTTTACTCAGTAACTTCTGAAATGATATCTACAAGTCTGGTTTCTAGTTTGTTGCAAGTTTTCAGGGCCCACTTTCAAACGTGTTCTTTTCCTTGATACCATCCAAGCACACACGTGACAAAGCGAGCTAGCAGCTGCCGCGTTAGGAAGTCGGTGCTGTCTCCGTGGATTCACTCCACCGGCTCGGGCAAGTGTTAGCCGGAAGGCGAGGGTCCTGGCCGGTTTCGTTTCTTCTTGTAGGTCCCCCTGGCCCAGTCCGAGGCGTTCCTCATCGACCTTTTGGATAAAGTGTGTGAGCGAATGAACGATTACCAGCTGGAGGACGACCCAGTGACTAAGCAGAAGCACTTCAGGAGATACGCTCCGAGAAAGGGGGACAAAATGTACTCAGAATACAAAAAGTTCTTCTTTTACTCTGATGCCTACAGACCCTTGAAATTCGCGGTAAGCTCGCTTCGGAGACCAGGTTCGTGAGCCTGTGGGTTTCCTCTACTTAGAGGACAGTCAGAGGCACACACAGATGCCCCAGCTTCCTGTGCTGCCCTGCTGCTTCTGGAGTTTAACCCACGGCGGAGGTTGAAGGGAGTTTTATGGAAGGTGCTCTCTGTCCCCAGTTCCAGGGACTGGAACAGCATTTGTACACTGTCAGGCCAATTTGCCTGTGTGGGGTGACCTCAGCCTGTCCTGATAGGAAGGGATGTGTCACAGGTCTCCATCCAAGCAAGTAGTTGCCTTGGTTTCTGTGCTAAAATCCAAATGGAAGCCCAGTGTCATTTTCAAATATTTATAGCAAAACGGTAGAGTAATGGCAGGGAGATCCCCCCCACCCACAGGCTCCACAGAGAGAACATTTTTCCTGAGTTAATTCAAGTTTTGTAGCACAGACGAGGTTATACGAAGGCTTGAGATCACTGGCATAATTCCAAATTTCCTTCCAGTATAATGTTTATTTTACATAAATGCTGGCCTCTGGCGTGCTAGAGTGTGCCTGGCAAAAATATATTGCAATATATTTCACTTTGCTTAATGCTGTTGAATCACACAGTGATGGGCAGGCCTGTTTAAAAAATGTATTAAGTTCACACATTGGCCAAAATGTCAGGCATGCTGAAGCCCCGAGTAGCTGACATTTGGAGACTTCATTTTAATTAAAAAGTGAGGGCAATAATTCAGGGTTAAAAGCCCCACGGAATCTGCATGGTGATGTGAGTGTGTTTGCATTTCACAGGTTTTAAATAAACACATTATGGTGGAATTTAAATATTTTTAAATGCCATTTAAAAATTTTAGAGTCTTGCTTAATGAACTCAAATGATTTACTAGTCTCCAGTGGCTGGCCCGCAGGAACTTAACAATTCCTAAAAGCATCACCTGGTGGTTCTTGAAGGAAGAAACGTTTTCCAGGTGGAATTTAGCATCCTCAGATCCTGGCAAATGTGAGCTCCCCTCTCTCTGAAATGTCAGGGTGTTTTATGTATTTTTTATATGTTTTAGAAAGCAGCCGAATTGGGGCTGGATCTCTAAATGCTACGAAGAGAAACCTCCCCGCGTTACCCAAACGCAGCTTTTCCGGTGCTAACCTGGCAGGTGCAATTGTTTTGGTGGCTGTGATACCTTAACTGTTTTCATACCTTCAAACTACAGAGTGGATCAATATGTTAAATCAGAAGGAAACTCATTTAGCTGCTTGCCGGAGCTGTTTTTTAAAACGCTGCAGAAAATAGAAAATAAAGGCTTCCTTCTGTGGGACACACACCTCTTCCTGGACTTATACTCCAAACTTTAGAGAAACAAATACAACTATTTTCCCTCCTCATCCTCCTAGATCTTGCCACAAAAATCAATTAGTTAAGTCCCAGCAAAATGATGCAGTTAGTATTCTGGAAAGAGACTCAATCCAGTGCAGCGATGTATTAAAGCAAAAGGGCCCAGGAAAATGGACTGCCTCGGTTGCCTGGTTTCGCGTGTTCAGCTACTAAAACGTTGCTAAATCTTTCCTAACAAGGGGCCCTGCCCGTGTGCCTGTCTGCACACATGTTGCTATTGTGTCTCTGCAGTGTGAAGCCATAATCGAAGAGTATGAGGATGAAATATTCTTACTTATCACGCAGGAGGCACAGCATCTAGCTGACGTGCTGTGCAGCGAGAAATCAGGTACTGTGTCTGATGTAACACGTGCTTCCAGCCTCGCTCTGTGCTCTCACTCAGCCTTGCACATCTCATCTGCAACCCTAGCCAGCCTACTTCCCTGCCAGTCAGGTGGGGCACAGCCTTCTGGGAGCAGGATGTCTGTGCCAGAAAGATCCACAGACACCCAGGGGAAAGTGTCCCCCACTGCTTTTCCTTCCCTGGTTTCTAAAAGAATTCAAGCTCCTTCGTTGTTAAGGAGCCCATTCTTGTTCAGAGCTAGGTGGCCCCAAAGCCACTGGCTTTATTTTTAAACTTATAGATGTTTAATCTCTCCATCCTGGCTCAGGAAGGGAGATGCTCTTAATTAAGTATTTATTCCCAGCAGAAAGTGGGATTTGTATTTTGTGGAAGGCAGCTATGCTCACCACTATACCACCAATGCACATGGAGGGATTTGTATTTTGTAAGAAAAAAAATTTTAAGTTTTTTTGCTTGTCTGGTTTGGGAGTTGTGTTGGAATTTGGTGGGGAAAGAGGTTCTTTTCCTCACGTAGCTGCATCTAAAAAGTTTTTTTTTTCTGGCTCCAAAGTGTTTAAATAATACTTCATATTTTAAGATATACACATGCCCCTCAGAAGCTAGGAAAAAAACGAGCAGGTTATTTACTATGTGCCATGGTGAAGCCTGTGACTACTGCCCCCTGCCCCCAGTCTGGTTGACGGGACATCCAGTGCCATGGCTTTTGACACATGTTTACACATGGGTAAGGGCATAATCTGTATTGAGCTGTGCTTCTCGGCCATCTTCAGGAGGACAGTTTAAACCAGAGCAGTGCTAAATTACACGGAGGCTCAACACAGAATTTAGCGGGTCTTCACAAGACAGCTTAACACACACAACCAGTACATGCAGTGCCCAAGCCCTGCAAGTAATATTTCTGTGTGCTTGCGGGTTGCTGTTGATATCATCAGAAGTTTCTAGATAAGAACCCATACACACCCCACCACTAACCAGACAGTTAAAGCTTTCTCATTCTGGTAGATAATAATGTTTTCTATTTAGAATCCCTTCAATGGGAGCTTGTTGACAAATGTAGTAAAATGCTATGAAGAAGGCTGTTTAACAGCTTGAGAGCTTTTTCAGTGATAAATAGTGTAGAAAATTGGGAAGTTCATGTAAGTGCATGCTGTACGTCCTGAAGAAAGTCTTTCTTGAAGTTTTCAATCAATTCAGTCATGTGGTGTTTGCACTGAGATATTGACACATACGTGATAGATGGGCGAGAAATACCTGTCTTCCTGTTCTTTTCCTTATAAAGAGCTGAATCGGCCACAGTCACCTGTGATGAACCAGAACGACAGGACGGAATGCCTGTCTCCAGGGTCCCTGCCCTGGAGTTAAGGTTCTGGGAGGAAGGTTGCTCCCGAGCTCAGAGGCTTGATTCAGGAACATCAAGAATCTCCCTTCATTCTTTCTATGTAGTTGTAATTGGGAAAAAAAAAGAAACATTACCCTTGAGAAAAACCCAAGCCTAGAGAGTAGACTAGGATGAGTGCACTATCACTAGAGAGAAACACCAGGTGACTCATAGCTAGCATCTGACTGCCTTTAAATTCTTTCATACCATCAGCAGAGCTGTGGAGAATCAAAGGTAGGGTGCTGTGGGGCTTTGGAGTGCTGCACAGGCCTGCACAGTGCTGTGGGCCTGTAGGGGGCTGTGGGGCTGCAGGTGCTGTGGGCCTATATAGTGCTGTGGGGCCTGTACAGTGCTCTGGGTCTGCACAGTACTGTGGGTTGTGCAGTGCCGTGGGCCTCTGCAGTGCCGTGGGCCTATACAGTGCCTTGGGTCTGCACAGTGCCGTGGGTCTGTGCAGTGCTGTGCATCTGTGCAGTGCTGTGGACAGAGCTCGCTCAGGCTTCTTTATGACACATGCTATGTATATACATATACATATATATTCCATTCCTAACTTAAAAACTGAGAGCAATTAACATTTAAGAGAAACTAAACTCCCTCTAGCCCCACTACTGAAACAGGCGGACACCGCATCATGAAAACAAAATAGACAGCCTTTTCACATTGAAATAAATTATTGCCAGAAAGTTAAACACCGAATGATTAAAATGCCAAGCTTCTAGCCAAATTTTTAGAAGTGTCTGTTTTCTAAATAATTATTTATCTCCCTAAAAGCACTAGGTGAACATTTCCCTAGTTCGCAGGATGGCATCTTGCACGTACACTCAGGAATTGGTATTGGTGAGTGTGCACACATGCACGTACACAGAACCCCCAACACACATGCACATACACAGAAGGCCAGCCTAAGCTACATGGGCTCTTTCTCAAAAGGGACAGACAAGTTTATAAATTCTAGCGGATGCAGGATCAGCAAAAGGAGTGTTGTGCTTTAACTCGGGGGGTAGCTGCAGGACCCCCCTGCATAGGTCACAAAAATTCCTGATACCTTGAATGCAATTTGCAAAACAGTCCAGTCACTGAGTCTCCTGCCAGAGCAGGGTGTCTAGTCTGTTTTGGAGAGGCCATGCTGCCTTGTGTTAGACAATAGCTTAACTATGACGTGATCACTGCAGCCTGCAGTGGAAATAATACCATAGCTCTGTGTGTGCATATGTGTATGTGCATATGTGGTATATCATGTATGTGTACATGTCGGTGCATGTGTGTGTTGGATTAGGGAACTGTACATTAACCAATAACTACTTACTGAGAATACACCATGTGTAAGAGGCCATCCTGAGAACGGGGAAAATGTTCGCTTTTAAGGAGATAAATAATTATTTGGAAAATAGATATTTCTAGAGATTTTCTGGAAGCTTACTTTCAACATATACTCTCTCTATATGAATTTTGCTTTTTGTTGCTTATTCTGGATTGTCTCCCTGTCTCTGTAAAAGAGCCAGTAAGGACACAGTCACGGACTCTAATATATAGGCTCAGTCACTCACCCACATGCACAGCCACATGAGGAAAATGGAGACCTGTCTTATGTGAAAGCTGGGCGGGGATCGCGTTTGAAAGATGAGTGAGATTTTCATAAATACCGGTGTCATCTTCTGCTGGGTGGGAAAGTCCTCAGTGAGGGGCAGAGTTGCCTGGATCTGTGAGCACCACTGTGATGCCACGCACTGGGGCGCTGGGTGGAAGGTGCGTCACCAGGCACATTCTGCTTGTGGGGCAAGGCAGAGCAGCCAGGCTTATTCCTCAAGCGATCTCTGTTTTCCTAGGTTTTCCTTGTGCTGTGTTCCAGTCTAAGGTATAGAACCTATGCTTCAGATGGTCACTTTTATTTCTTGAAATCAAGACTAAAACAGTAATGTGATAGGACTTAGCGTGACCTAGAGTGGTGTGCACACAAGCGGGAGGTCACGTTGCAGTGATTCCTAAGCGAAGGAGTACTCTTGTTCCTGGAGAGATAAGGGTACGCATGGGAACACATCGATCACGTCTGCTCTGATATCAAACCACAACATTTTAAAACATTTGCCTACAGAATTCCCCGCATACCCGTTCTAATCTCACGGAGTGGCATTTCAACTATCTGGACACGGCTGGCCCACACGGGTACTAGCATTTCCAATTTCATCTGACTCCTCAGCCCAAATAAGGAGACTTAGAATCTAACACATAGAGATAATTATTCTCAGAAGCTGGCATATTTCAGGTAAATTATGTGGCTAAAGTAATCCACAGCCTTTCTAAGCATGCTTGGCATGCCTGCTTCCAACGGGAAAGGCAGTGTGACTCAAAATAGCCAGTGCCTCCAGGTTCGAAGCCAGTGTCCTGTGCTGGATCTTCCTTAAATTCTCCTGTGCCTGTGGGGGAGGTCACTCAACACTTGGCCAGAGAAGACTGGAAGATGAGATGAGAACGTTAGAGTCGGTTTAGGGGATCATTTTGGAGGCTAGGTTTAGGGTCCAGAGGAGGTGGACATGTACTCCTTTCTACTTTTGCGTGTGTTTAATTTTTTCATAATAAAAGTTCAACAATATGCTCCCACCAGCTTGTGCTTTTGGGAATGGAAGCAACCCTGTGGCCTGGTGTTGAACCCCTTCGTGATGCCATCTTATGTTTCTTTCCAGATCTGTGTGGTGCACCTATCATCAATCGCACCAAACCCTAGGCCTGATGTGGGACTGTGGTAGAGCGGCACCGAGCCACAGCCCCGGAGGTCGCTGTCTGCCTCCACACCATGTGCCTGCCGTGATAAGGGATTTTGTCTCGTGTCTGTATCTGACTTGTCTCATGTGTGATATTGGTTTGAAAATCTCTTGTTTGGCATCTTGACAGAGCCCAACTGTCCCCGTAGGTGAAGAGAAGGCGTTTTTAAAACTGAGCTCTGCTTTGCCTATTTGGGTAGAAACTGGATTGGCAATAGAGCAGCATTAAATTTAGCCGTGGGAAAAAGTGTAGCCTTTCCCTAAAGTCAGTGGGGATTTAACGGTGGATACGGGCTGTGTTTCCCAGCAGATGTATCTGGCATGCACAGCACCGTGTGCTGTTTAGTAAGAGCTTGGTTTGATTTCTCAAGTACTTGATTGGCCGCAGATTTAAGGCATTCAATCGCATTGAATCCCGCATTGGGTCTTCTACAGGGCCCTGGGTGGTGCTGTTAAAGCCAACCCTCTTTATCAAGAGTGAAACTGATACTTCCAGAAACTCTTAAGTTTTAAAATTTCATCCCCAAGATTTGTTAGAACAGATTTTTAAAAAATGAGCACTTTTCACAGTGAACATTCATCACATCAATCTTTTCTAAACACTCTGAGTTCGGATGATTCGAAGTTAGTGTCTGGCTGCAGTGTGTTTTAAAAGACGGCACTGAACACCTTTTTGCCTTTCAGGAATCTCTCCTTGGGTTTTTGTTTTTTCCTAAAAATCCACAGATAGTAGTTAGTGTGTAGATTTTGCTATGTTCTTCTGTCAGTCTTTAGCAAGATTTGTATTCTTTGCGATGTGGAGGTGGAAGGGGACCTAGGATGTGGAGGGAAACTCAACTTTGCTACACTTAGTATAACACAAAATGTGGGAACAGGACAATGTCATTGTCTGTTAAATGTGTCTTCCATGGAATCTGACTCTTAATTATTAGGCACATTGGGGAACACCTGTTTTAATAATAATTAATAATAATTTAAAAGAAAACCCTCATCATTGTTAGTGGGTAACATGAAGGAAATTTTGCATTAAAAGAGCCAAGAAAGCCTGATGCTCACATAATCATCCAGAAACAACACAATTTACATCATTCACTGGACTCCTTGACCACCACCGTGCCCAGCTTACTTTCCAACTTTTATGAAATGGTTGGTTTGGGTCTCAGGAAGATTTGCCTGAGTCACTGTTCTCATAACCCCAAAACCAAACTGGCCAAGACAAGCCCTCTATCTTTGTTAAGACCAAGCCAAGAAAGGGGACCCATTTCACTGGAGTGTGCAGAGTGGAAATGATCCAAAGTCCCAACAGGAAAGATCAATACTGACTAAAACAAGCCCTAAAAAAATAGTCAATGCAATAGGTCAGATGTCTGTCTGTCAGTTCACATAGGGGCTCAGTAGCAAATGCATAAATGTACGTGACCAAAAAAGTTTATGTATCACTTAAAATTCAGATTGTGGTGGGATTGGGAAAAGCCGTTTTTTCTGTACGCTTTTGTGCTCTGCTTTTAAAATGCAAACTTGTGAGCGAATCCTAGACTTAGACATGTTAAAGGCCAGTCAGTAGCATGTGGCAGTTTGGTACTGAGATGCAGTGAACATGAATGTTAAGTCATTGCAATAAAAATATACCTGTCAGAGACCAGTGTGTTTTTATTATGACACTCCACCTGCAATTTAATTCTCCTTCCTAAGTGTAAGCTCTTCAAGTTATTTGCTTTTAAAGCAAGGAACAAAGCGGATAAAAAGGGATCAAACAAAATTGAAATATGGAAGTCACAGAAGTCCACTGCCCTTGAATCAGCTAGGGAAAGATGAGGGGAATCGCTTCGTCCCTGCTGGAATCCCCTTGGCTACCCTGTCCCTGATCTGTGTGGAGCAGGGGCCACTGTCATGGGGTCTCACTGGCTGCCCTGAGAAAGGGTGACGGTGACGTGACAGCATCGGTGTAACACTGGTTGATTTACCACATGTTGCTTCTTCACCAGCGGGAGGCTTGTTCAGAAGGACAGTGTGTAGAAGTGGAGTCCCAAGTGGCCAACCGGCTCCCCACCCTTTTGATTCTCTGAGAATCTCTAGAAATGGGTGAAAGGAGGGATGAGTGAGTGGGTGGATGAATGGGTGGGTGGGTGAGTGGGTAGGTGGATGGAGGGATGGGTGGGTGGTTAGGTGGATGGAAGGCTGGGTGGGTGAGTGGGTAGGTGGATGGAAGGATGGATGGATGATTGGTGGGTGAGTGGGTAGGTGAATGGAGGGATGGGTGGGTGGTTAGGTGGATGGAGGGATGGTTGGGCTGCCCTGAGAAAGGGTGACGGTGACGTGACAGCATCGGTGTAACACTGGTTGATTTACCACATGTTGCTTCTTCACCAGCGGGAGGCTTGTTCAGAAGGACAGTGTGTAGAAGTGGAGTCCCAAGTGGCCAACCGGCTCCCCACCCTTTTGATTCTCTGAGAATCTCTAGAAATGGGTGAAAGGAGGGATGAGTGAGTGGGTGGATGAATGGGTGGGTGGGTGAGTGGGTAGGTGGATGGAGGGATGGGTGGGTGGTTAGGTGGATGGAGGGATGGGTGGGTGGTTAGGTGGATGGAGGCATGGGTGGGTGGGTGAGTGGGTAGGTGGATGGAGGGATGGGTGGATGGAGGGATGGATGGATGATGGGTGGGTGAGTGGGTAGGTGGATGGAGGGATGGGTGGATGGACAGATGGAAGGATGGATAGGTGAGTCGATGGATGCCTAGGTAGGAAGAAACTTAGAAACAGATACATATAGACATATACTCAATGAATGAAGTCAGAGCTTTGACTGCTCCAGTAAGGAGATTTGGAGAAATGGTGTCTGGCGATTTCTTTAATTCCTTACAGAAAACACAACACACCTCTGCTTCTTATCTGGAAGGATTATCTTCAAGACATGCTTTAAATTACAACAGGAATTATTCTGTCCAACAACAGAAAATAATTGCTAAGCATATTTAATCCATTAAGAAATTGCTGGACAGTAAAAATGCTATTGTGGTTCCAGTGGAAATAGATTACAGTCTTGTAATAAGCCAGTATTATGTGACATAGATTTGGAAAATCCTGTCAGGTCAGGTTGTGTCCTCCAAACATAGCAACATAAACCAGGAAGCTGGCCAATTAAGCAAGTGATCTAATAGACTGCCTTGCTGCTTCCAACCACAGGGTGGGAAAGGGCCTGAGCTTGGGCGTGGCTGATCCACAGTGCTGCCCGGTGCACCATAGAGCTGCACAGGAGTCTGACGCCTCCTCATGATTAAGGATTGTCCATATCCCCGGATGTCTGAGGACTGGATGCCACATGAGAGATCTGCAAGCCCAGTGTTGGCTAACAGGGCACGGCCGGAACTCAGAAAGACCCTATAGGCTTGAGTTAAAATACTTAACTTAAAGTTGATGCCAACTTTAAGCTTTGTGAGTGGTAAGCCTAGTCCCTCCAATGGCAGACTGTACTGACATTGTCTGTGTGGGTTTGCCACACAGCATCTTTCTGAATAAGTGAGATTTCTCTACAGCCCACTGTCTGAAATCAGCGTACTAAAAGGTGGCTATAATTCTAAGGTGATGCATGGTAAGAGTCCAGTCAGGTGTCTCTCACTAAAGTCATTTCTATGGTTCTGTTCTACAGCTCTGTTCATTGGACCATACCCCCTGTCCTGACCTCTGGGTTTGGAGGAAAGCACAGCACTACAAGATAGGCTATTTGCTCCCCATTAAAAATGGGCCCTATGGGCTGGAGAGATGGCTCAGCAGTTAAGAGCACTGACTGCTCTTGCAGAGGACCTGAGTTCGAGTCCCATCACCCACATGGCAGCTAACAACCATCCATAACTCCAGTTCCAGGGGCTCTGACACCCTCTTCTGACCTCTTCAGGCATTGCAGCACACAGGTGCACTTACATACATGCAGGCAATACACTCCAACATAAAATAAAAATAATAAAATATTTAAACATGGACCCTATGTAACATAATGTGTTATAGAGACAGAGGGAACTCTGATACAAACATGGTTTCCAAATGTGCCATCAAATGATTAGAACGTGAGGTAAAACAGACCCTTAAACTGCCATTATAAGTAATCAGAGTTCTGATTAAATATTAATGCTCTAAGATTAAAGGGTTTTGTGTGTATATGTACACACCCACACAGTGCCTGCTTTTTAAAGTGACACCCCAAAATGTCAGGCAAGAGAGGTGTCCAGTTAGCTTCATTACCCCCTGGTGGGTGCTGAGCACTATCCTGGGAAGCCCCACTTGATCACAGGGAGGCAGTAATTCTTAGCCAACTAGGAGGCTCAAGCTTCTTGTGGGCATCGACCAATGGGATCATCAGGTCTTCCTGCTGATGAGCAGCTGGGGGCTGGATGAAGGGGCTAAGCAACTGGGTGCTGACTCTCATGCCCTTAAGCAGAGCCAGAGAAGAGACTCCAGAGCGAGGCCTCACTGGAACGTAGGTTCCCACTGTCTCTGAGAATCGCTTTTCCTTCTTCCCAATGAGTGGGCCCACTCACACCCAGCATATCTCTGCTCCTCCTCCTCTCCTTCCACCTAGTTCCTGCTGATTGGCTCCGGGATGGACGAGGGCATTTCCTCCTACAGACCCAAAGCTAGCTCTAATCCCTGTCAGCTGTCTCAGGACAGGAAGCAGGGGAACCAGAGATCTGTCACAGCCCTGCGCACAGCACAGAGCAGCCCGAGCCCGAGGCTGGCAGAGCCAGGGGCAACGGGTGGGGAAGGAGGCTGGTAGTTCATGCTATCTGAGCCATTCCCTCGCCAAGCCCCAGCCTCGTTGGAGCAGCATGTGCCCTTGAGCAAGGACCATCCTGGTCGGTCAATAACAGCCCCGAGGGGAAGAGTGTGGTTCAGACAAAGCCTTATCTGAGGGAGGAGTGGGGAGCTGCTGGGCCCTTCCTATTAAGTTCCCATTGATTTGCACCCTGAAAGCCCAATGGGCAGCTCTGGTACCTCTCATCAGCTGGACTGTAAATCCACGCCCCACAAAAGGATCTGAGCGGTCAATGAGCCACAGCTCAGAGCACATCCCTGGGAAGTCCTGGGTATAACCCACCCTGCAGAAGCCAGGGGACGAAAAGGGGTCAGCAGCCCGGGGTGAAGGGTGGCTCACATTGGGACCTGGCTAGTGGTGCTGGTGGCAGCTGATGACTTTAGGATAACTGATCCTCTGTTCTTCATTCAACCTTCCTACACAAGTGTCCACCACCCAAGAATCTGAAATGGGCCCTTTGTCCCACCAGCTGGATTACAGGGGCCTATGTTCATAAAAACACCCAGTCATACAAGGTCCAGGGTAGAAGGAGGTCTCCGGGGGACAGCAGCCTCCTGCCAGCCCAAGCATGCCAGCCTTGCTTCAGTGGTGGGGACAGGCAGTGAGGGGAACTCGGGAGAAAGACCCAGCAGTGTGTCTTAGACGCATGACATGCAAGGGAACGGCAGGTGTGAAGGGCTAGAAAATGTGACCTTGTCGTGGTGTGTCTTTCTTCATTCATGAACTCCGGATAAGATCTAGCCACCGTCTGTTGTCAGACTTCTAAGTAATAATGCGCAAACACGGCATCTTTGCATCTTCGTTGGAACTTGAAGGTACCTGCAGGTAAATCGTCTACAGTGTCACAGGAACTGTGAGTCTGCCCACAGCCTGGTGTCTCTTTCACATGAAAAGGACTGGTTGGGTTCAGTTAGAGACAGTTTAGCAAAGTTCAGGATGGACTTCCCTCCCAATTTCCCAAACCTCCATTAAGAGCCCCGCGCTGATATGTCAGTAGTGATTTCTTCATGGCAAACAGAAGCCTTCTGTTTACAGCGCCTGGGTGGTGCTACTCAAACTTTCTTTCCCCGAGCTTTTGATCTTGTTTTGTTTTTTTAAAATATAATATTTTTATCATGTATGAGAATTTCATACATGCATACAGCATATTTAGATCCTATTCAACCCCTCCTCCTCCCCGTAACTCCTCCCAGATCCACGCCCCTCTCTCCAACCCTTCAAGTTCAATTTCTGCTGCCTACATCGTCAGGGTGTGGGACTATCCACCAGAACACAGTCAACCTACTGGGAGTCACAGCCTTAAAAAAAGCTGACAAGCCTCGCCTCAGAAGCCATCACCTGTCAATAACTCCTCAGTTAGGAGTGGAAGGCCCTTGACCATCCCCTCCACGATAGAACGCCGACCGCCTTGATTGCGAGCAGGTCCTGCGCCACCGCAAACTGCTTTGCATTCATGAGTGCGGAGAAGACGCAGTTTCATTCTAGCCCCCCACCAACCTCTGGCTCTTACAATCTTTCCACCTCTTTCGCAATGGTCCCTGGGCCTTGGGGAGTGAGTGTGACAGAGATGTCCCATTTCTGCACTTTGACTAGCTATGAGTTTCTGTGTTAACCATCATCCACTACACAAACTGATGAGGTCTGAGAAGTTGCCCACCTTAAATGAGCAGGAGTGCAGAGATGCTGTCCCCAAGTGCTTCCACAGAATTGGGGGTACGCTTGCTGCCTGGTAAAGACTGCTGGTGGAATGCTGTGTCTAGAAAGGTTTTCAGGAAACAGAAAGGTGGCTGATAATACAAAGTTCAAACCACATAACAGAACTGTCC